GGGTCACGAAATCACCAGGACACATGGGATGCAGAGTGCAAACAGCAATTGCCACTGCATTCTGAGCTTTATTGTTAGTGGTATACAAGCATGATCTTTGCCAAGATTTGGTCAGAAGACATTCACACAAATATTTCAACAGATACATTTTTACTTGACCTATGAGACAATGTCTTGGTATATTATTATCTAAACTATTTTAGAGCAAGCTCAAACCACTTCTCCAATCTCAGGAAAATGCTTGAGCATCTGTTCATCTATGCTTAAGCAAGCAGAAAGAGCTACTTCCTCAGCTCCCAGTAGTCTGTGACATGTGTTTTGAGATAGAGAGAGAGAACATTTTCTCTCTCTACCCCGGCGTGCCAAAAGCTTTCCTAATCCCAAACACAGTGCTCAGATAATCCTGAGGTGGAGCCTGTATCACTCTGCCCCCTCAACATCGACCCTGAGTCTTCACACTCTATGATTCATTTTTGTAGGCTTTTATACTTTCCATGAAATAGGCCCTTTACATATTTGGTTAGCTTAATTCCTAGATACTTTTTTTTTATTGTGAATGGTGTTGTTTCCTTGATTTCCATTTCTGCTCGTACATTGTTGGTGTACAGAAAGGTGACTGACTTTTGTGGGTTAATTTTGTATCCTGCTACTTTGCCAAATTGGTTTATAAGCTCTAAGAGTTTGGGGCGGAGCTTTAGGGATCATTAATTTATAAAATAATGCCATCTGAAAAAATAGATAGTTTATCTTCTTCCTCTCCTGTGTGGATCCCTTTAATGTCTTCTTCTTGCCTTATTGCTCTGGCTAAGAATTCCAGAACTATATTGAAGAGGAGTGGAGAGAGTGGGCATCCTTGCCTTGTTCCTGTTTTTAGGGGAATTGGTTGTAGTTTTTCCCCATTAAGTATAATATCGGCCTTTGATATGCCATGTAAGGCTTTTATTGTCTTATCAAATGTTCCATATATTCTTATTTTTTCCAGATCTTTTAACATGAATGAGTGCTGAATTTCATCATAAACCTTTTATGCATCAATGTTGATAATCATGTGGTTCTTTACCTTGGAACTGTTGATGTGATGGATCACATTTATTGACTTACATAGGTTAAACCATCCCTGCATCTCTGGGATGAAGCCTACTTTGTTATAATGTATGATTTTTTGTTATGTTTCTGGATTCTGTTGGCTGCAATTTTATAGAGGAGCTTTGTATCTGTCTTAATCAAAGAGATTGGTGTATAGTTCTTTTTTGTTGGGTCTTTGCTTGGTTTGGGTATGAAGGTAATATTGGCTTCATAGAATGAGTTTGGGATTACTCCCTCTGTTTCTATTTCTCTGAAGAGCTTGAGTAGTATGGGTATTAGTTCCTTTTAAAGGCCATATAGAATTCTATAGTGAATCCATCAGGTCCTTGGCTTTTCCTGTTGGAAGTCTTCTGATTACTTCTATTATCCCATTGTAGGTTATTGACATGTTTAATTGATTTATTTATTCTTGGTTCTGTTTGTGCAATTTTTTTTCAGGCAGGAAAAGAATTTATTACTGAACTGCTGCCCCCACCATGCATGGTGGAGAAGCATGGCTGAAAAGGAAGGGGTGACCCACCTCTGGACCAGGACTTATCTAGGCCAGGGACAGGAGGAGGTGTGGCAAGGTGGGAGAAAGGTGTGGCCACACTGGATCCAGATGTGACCTCAGGGTCTGGGACCCTCCTAAGATCAGATGGGAGGCATGTGACCAGAGGTGGCCCAGGATGTGACCTAGCAGGAGGGTAAGGTGACTGCTTCCAGGTCTGCCAGTTACCTATGTAACAGATACTGGGCTGAAACTTAGCCAAGAGGGAGGGAGGTGTGAAAATTCTCTCGGGCTACTTCCTGTTTTCATGGGTGTAAACAGTAGGGGTAAAAGGCTGAGATATGGTCCCTCTAGCAGGAAATAGCTGTCACTTGGGCATTGAGTGCTTAGATGAAGTCTAGAGGAGGCAAGTCTCTTGGATGAAGTCTGGAGAAGACTCAGGCATTGAGGGACTGAAAAAAATTCTATAGAGCAAATAAATAGCAAGAGGAAGGACTTGGGGTTGAAAATGGTGGTACAAATGTCGTTAGCTATTTCTGACATCTGATGACTAGGTAGAGAATAAGTCAAGTAACAAAGGCAAGATTATATATTCCTTTCCAGTTGAAAGTTAGATAGGTATTGACATTAGATGGGCAGTCTTCTTACTTCTATTGATCTCCCAACTCTGGTTAATTTTAAAAGGGCAGGCACAAAGTGGATGATGTGATATCATCTCCTCTTACTCCTTTCCATTTTTCCTTGTTCCCCAGACTGGCAGAGTCTAGGTGCTTGTTGCTGGGATGTTTTGTCCCAGTTGGTATTCAAGGAGGTTTGAACTCAAGGCCTGGGCACTGTCCCTGAGCACTTCTGCTCAAGGTTATCACTCTACCACTTTGAGTTATAGTACCACGTGTAGTGTTTGCTGGTTAGAGATAAGAGGCTTGAGCAAATGCTTCCTGCCTGGTTGTTTGCAGGTTAGTTGGGAAATAGAGTCTGAGGGATTTTTCAGCCTGGGCTGGCTTTGAACTGCAATCTTTGCCACAAAAAACTTTTGTTATTTCCAACTAAAGCAACAAGGAGATCAAATAGAATAAGTAGAGCATACCTGGTCCTTATCAAGAATTGACCAAATATTCTGCAATGAAAAAACTCATTAGATGAGAGAATCTTAGGACAGATATGCCCAATATTTTAGAATCATTTTGTCACTACTAGAACACAACACACAAAAAAAGGCAAAACACAAAACCTAAATTTTTGACAACATTGTTTAGACATCTTTGCTAACAAAGCACATCAGATGGTGGGGCCTCAGTTACCAGGGTCTGTGAAAAGAGCAACTTGTTAGCAAGGCACATTAGAATAGATGGATGGAGGAATAGTAAGCTTGGTGGAATGGTAAGGATTGGATGGGGCCAAACCCTTAACCCACCATGTGGCCAACATGGCGAACTCAAGATGGCAAATTTCTGAAAAAAATGCAAAGAAAGTCTAAACAAAAAAATCAAGCCTAGTTTGGCAAGCCTTTCAGAGGGAACCTAGAGGGCATCCCCGGGACCCAGCCCATATCGCATTCTTCAGGACACAATCCAAAAAGTTGTAGGAAATTAAGAGAGAGATATAGAAATTGCACATGAATAGCAGAGAGCATAGAGAGCCTGAAAGTAAACAAACTTCTGACCATGTGTCATTGCAGAGGAACAAATTGTCTAAATCTGAGAATAGCATTAAAACATTAGGTGCTCTGGCTATCCAGAGAGCGCAGGAGGCATTTCAGAGGGGTTTCATGGCTCGGTAATGACTCACAGCACCCCAGTAAATGTGTAGGAGAGTCAGTGTGGTGAATGAAGGAGAGCTGACCAGGCAGAAGCAGCATCCCGACTTCTCCCAGAGCCCTCTAAAGAGAAATGGCCAAGCCCCCAAACCTAGCATCCTCAGCTTTGTAGGTGACCAGCCTTTCGGCTAAAGGCCAGAGGAGCTCTCTGTCATGGCGCCATATCTGCACAGAGATTGAGCAACAGAGAGCCATAGAGAGTAGTGTCACTCACCAGACTGGAGAAGTGATGTGGATGTGGATGTGAAGGCCAGCAATGGTATTGGTTAAAAGTCTCAAGACAGTTTGGTTCACAGAAAAGTGGTGGTTGGGAAATTCTAACATTTCCAACTTAAAAACCCCATCTGAATCATGGCACCATACGTAAGGTATATTAAATAGGTAATATTTAATATTAGCTACCTAATGAAGAGAACACCACATGCTATTCAGGCAGGAAAAGGTGTTTGTTTACCGAACTGCTGCCCCTACTATAGATGATAGAGAAGCATGGCTGAGAAGCAAAGGGGGGAATAGAAATTTGTATTTCTGTAGAAATTCATCCCTCTCTGCTAGGTTTTCCTTCCTTTGTGAGTAGAGTCTGGAATTACTTCTTTATGATTGTTTGGATGTCTTGGATGTCTGTTGTAATTTTCCTGTGATATCTCTGATATTATTGATTTGGGTCTCCACTCTTATTTTGTTAGTTACTCTTGCCAGTGGTCCCTCAGTTTTATTGACTTTTTTTAAAAAAACAACTTTTTATTTTATTATCTTATTTATAATTTTCTTAGTCTCTACCTCATTAATTTCAGCACTTATTTCGGTTAGCTTTTCTATCTAGCAACTTTAGGTTCAAATTTTTCTTGTATCTCTAGCAGTTTTAGTTGCATCATAAGATTGTTTACTTGGTCTTGGTTTTCTTTTTTCTTTTTTTTTTTTTTTGGAGCGGGGGTCCGGTCATGGGGCCTGAACTCTGGGCCTGGGTGCTGTCCCTCAGCTCTTCAGCTCAAGGCTACCACTCTACCACTTGAACCACAGCGCTACTTTACAAGGCAAGTGTTCTACCACTGAGCCACTTTCCCAGTCCGGTCTTTGTTTTCTTGATGTGTGCACTGAGAGCAATAAATTTGCTCCTCAGGACTGCTTTGCTTTGTCCCATAGATTTCGTTGTGATGCTTCCTCATTCTCATTGAATTGTAGGATGTTTTTAATTTCTTCTTTAATTTCTTCTGTGACCCATGTATTGTTCAACTGAGTTCTGTTTAATTTCCATGTGTTTAAGTTTTTTTCTACTTTATGACTTATTATTGAGAACTAGTTTGATTCCACTGTGGTCAGATAGAATACAGGGTATTATGTCAATTCTCTTGTATTTGCTTAAATTCCTTGTATGAACTAAGAAATGATCTATTTTAGAAAAAATTAGGTGGTTGGCAAGAATAAGACCTTGCTGGTGTGAATGCCTATAATTCTAACTACTCAGGAGGCTCAGATCTGTGTATTCAGGTTCAAAGCCAGTTCAGGCAGGAAAGTTCATGAGGATTTTCTGGGGTTGTTCAGCACCACACCCTGCCTCAAGTCTGGGGTTGTTCACCCCCTTTGCCACCATGGGCTGGGCTAGGCTGCTTATGTAAACCAGTATGGAGAAGCGCTGCACCCACTACGGGTCTGGAGTTGTTCACTGCTGCTGTCGATGCTGCTGCTGCTGCCACAGCTGTTGCCACTGCCCCAGCTGTTGCCACTGCCCTAGGATCATCTGGCCCACTTATGCAAGCCAGGCACCCCACCATGAGTCAGGTGTTAACCACTGCTGCTGCCTCAGACTAGGCTGGGCTCCTTATGTAGGCCAGAATGGAGAGGCACAAACCGTCACCCATCTGGAGTTGTTCACTGCAGCTGTCCCCGCCCCATTCACTGCTGCCGCTGGTCTGGGTTGCTCCTGTGGGCTAGTGCCAAGAGGCATTGTGCCTGGAGTCTGGGTGGTTTGCCACCACTGCCAGCTGTCGCTGCTTCTCCAGGTTAGGTTAGGCTCTTTAAAACAGCAGGACAGAGGTGCCACGCTGCCAGTCTAGGGTCGTTTGCCACTGCTGACAGCTGCGGCTGCTCCTGACTGGATTGGGCTGCTTGTACCAGCCAGGAAGAGGTGCCATGCTAGGGAGGGTGAGACAAGTTTTTGTGCTGGCTCTGCCTTCTGAGATTTCTGCTTGCATTCTCTCGGTTGGCACCACCTCTTGGGAGTCTTCTGAGAGCCTTGGGATGCTTGTGAGTGTGTGGTCCACAGACGGTCCAGAGCCTGGCCACTTAAGCAGCCTGGCATGAAACCCCATCAACAAGGGGTGGGGGAAGGGTCTTCCTACTTTACTGTCTGTGTAGGTTTTCCCTTTTCTTTTTTCACTTCCTGTATCTCTCTGAGTAATTGCCTTTTTTGTGGGTCACTTGGAGAAACAGAGCATTGAAATACAAACTCTGTATTTGGTTGGAGAGAGCTGAGGTATTTCCCTGCTGTTCCATCACCATCTTGGCCCCTCCCCTTCAGGTGGAGTTTTTCTTTGGTGGCCAGTGGACCTTGATTACCAAAGGATAGGTACATAAAAGAATATGTTGTAATGCCTGCAGACTGTTGTTAGACATTTCTGTTAATATAACCTTCACAAGTTTAGAAACCAAAGGGGGTGGTCTACACTAAAGTATTTCAAAGGGATTAAATCCTTTAACATAGAGGCTACATCTTTCTTGAAGGAAAGCAAAGTGGAGGAGGCATACCTAGCCATGGCCAGTATCTGTATTTAATTAATTTTCCTTTAAGGTCATTTTCATTCTTTCTAGTGCCTTGAACTCTAAGGTTTATAAATGGATTGCAACTTCCAATTTATTCCTAGGGTGTTAGTTAATAATTGAGAACTTGGACCATGAATGCAGGACCATCTTTGGACCCCAAAGCTAAGGGTAAGTCAAATCAAGGAATTATTACACACCTCAGCTCAGCTTGAAAAAGTGTCAACAATTACTAACAGATACCAATTCTCATACTTTCCAGGCTTTACCTCTGTGGAGTCCACTTTCCCAAATTCACGATCTGAGGTTCTTCATATATTAATTATTTCCATAGATTCCAGCTTTTCAGCATTTACCTGTTGGAAATTACCTACACGCATTACAAAGAATTGTCAGGCTGAGGCCCCACTGTTTTTCAGAAGTTTTAGGCAGTGGCCTCGCTCAATTTACCTGGGTGCAAATATCTATATATAAACTGAAAGAAAGCTTGAGCCTGTATGCTATTTTCACAAGTTCAGTATCAACATTTGCACACTTATTACCACTGTTTTTGCTTCTTCCTTTAATCTTAATGACTAGTAGCTCTAGAGAACCAACTGGTTTTAGAGTGGTCTCCCAAACTACCTAATCAGCTCAGATGTTTCCCTGTATCTTAGGGTCTCTAGTTTCTTTACTTCCTGTATAGTACTCTGAACCTTGGAGACTTCTCCCATTCTATTCACCTTTTCTCTCAAACTTGCTTTCAGGATCCCACTCTCTTTCTCAATGTGCTCCTTAACCTTCAAGTGTTTTGGCAGGGTCACAGGAGAGTTCCTTTGACTGGCCAACTGCTGCTCCTTCTCACAACACCTTTGCTTGCTCTTCAGCTCCTCCTTTAAGTTCACAAAGGTGCTATTGAGACGTATTTTTTCCCACCTTCACCTGTTCCATTGGGACATGAAGCTTCTGCATTACATTTAAGGTGAAGATCTCAGCAGTCTTTTTGGCTTTTTATTCTAATAGTTTCTCTTTCTAGTTTTCCACTTTAGTGTATTTTTGTGACAGATCTTCCAACTTTTTGTTTAGCTCTTCTGTTTTTGTTCCTTATGGTCTTTCCCTTTCCCTGGCATTCTCTGTCAGACCATGTGGTCCTTTAACTCTTTCTGAATAGTAGCAATCTCTTGAGCTTGATATTTTCCTGTTCACTTTTCTTGGCCTCATCTATTACACAGCACTTCCCTGTCTTCTCTGCTAACTCCCCTTTCCTTCTTTCTCTGTTGTTTTGAATTTCTGGTGACACTCTTCAAAGCTTATAATCGACATGTACTTCAGCCTAATACATTCTTATATCAGGTCCAGCTCCTTTTCCATGGCGATGATTTCCTTTTATTTATTTATTTAATTTTATTTTTGTGAACATACTGTACAGAGGGGTTACAATTTCATGGGTGAGATAATGAGTACATTTCTTATCAAGCATTGCAGCCTCCTCCTTTGTTTGCCCTTCCCAGCATCCCCCTGCCTCCCACCCAATCCTCCCCCCCATGATGATTTCTTAATGCAGCATCAGGATCTCTTCTTGGCCTCACTTGTAGTTAGCAAGGATGGCAGCATTGCTGTCCTGTGCTTCTGTTTGCCTCTGACCTGTGGTCCTGTAATTTGCCTCATGCTCACCCAGGTTAATGTACTTGAATTTCATTTGATTTTGAGTGTTTTCTAGGTTCCTTTTGAGGATTTTCTTCTCATTTTTGACCCTCACAAGTTCCTAATTTATATATTCCAATCTTTTCTTCACGTCAAATAATTCTCTGTTTTCTACAATGTGCTCTTCTTTTTTTTTAACTTTTATTTTATTTGTGAACATGCTGTACAGAGGAGTTACAATTACATGGGCAGGATAATGCATACATTTCTTACCAAGCATTGCAGCCTCCTCCTTTGTTTACCCTTCACATCCCTTCCCAGCCTCCCCCATCCCCCCCACTCCCAATCCTTCTCCTTCCCCCTTCTTCCCCCCCCTCCTGCACCGACGTTGTAAAGCTCGTTTTGGACATGACAACTTGTACTTCTCATTGTTGCAACAGGTCCACCTGTATCCTTAAACAACTGGTTTTTCCCCATCTCCTCCAGTGCTCTTCTATGTGCTTTTAATCTCTTGGTGGGTTTTGACTGGCACATAGTAGAGACTCAGTCTTTTATAAGATTATGTTTTGACATAGAAGGGTGTGAATATTTTCTTTGCCACATTTCTTAAGTTCAGAAGGCTGCTTTTTAAATTGAACATAGTTGGAATTCAGAGCCCCAAGCTCTTTTGCATGTTTATCCAGAGATATGAACACATTTTCCATTTGGTTAATGTGATTAATTAACCTGTCATTTTCTATCTTTCTCCTCCTTGGACATTCCTTTTCCCAATGTCCATTTTGTTTGCAATAAGCACACTGATGTAGTCCTAGTGGTTCCCTATTGCCATTTGCAAACGAATTGTACTGTCTTTGCCAAGGGTTTCTTGATCCCTATTCTGGTGCTCCTACCAAAACTCAAACCATCTTCTTAGACTCTTTTTCCAGGGTATCTCTGTTAACAAACACCCTCTGGGCAACTACTTCCAAATTAGAATAAACTTTTCCCTCAAAACCTTCTGACTTTTGAAGCTTTCTTCTAATATCTGGGGCTGTCTGGGTAACAAAGGCATATTTAGGGCTCTTTCATTCTCCATGGCTTCAAGATCTATAGGCCTATAGGTCCTATAGGCTTTTGAGAGAAGTTTCAGAAAAGCATTAGGGTACTCACTGGGGAACTGTACCATCTCACTCACCTTAGATTGATGGGATTTGGCTTTTTAGCCACTGCAGTATCCCTGCTAACAGAACCTGGCAATAGGTAAGCACCTCCATACCTGGATTGCTCTTAGTCTCAGCTTGGGTAAGTCTGTGGAAAGACTTGCTTGTTCAATAGTAGGGCTACTCTCTGGTCCAAGGACCACCTTCAAGGCACCAAGCAAGATTCATTCCTTTATCTACCCGGTGTAAAGTACCTGCCAAATTTGCTGACATTCATCCTAGATGTGCTTGTGTGTGAAAATTAGTCTCTAATGAAGTAATGAGCCCCTTTTTTCTGAAAAGGATGGATTTTGCTGTTTCCAGTAATACAGGTCACTAGTTGTAAAGGGTACATATATTAGAAATGGGGCTAGCCCACCATATCCTCCATGTTCCTGTCTCAAAGGTAATAAGGGTAACATACCACATTGTACCACCTCAGACTGGTACAAGTAACCACTTTTGGTATGGGAGGACTTAACATTAGAGGTGCTGATGGCAAAGAATAGGAGTGAGAGTACATCAGTGCATCTTCCTCTGAGGGATTCTGTAAATCTGGAGAAGAATATTTTTTTGGATATGACACCTTTAGGCCTTGCTCTCTCATCTTGAGAAAATGAGTAAACAGAGGTGCATACAGGACACAGAACTATCAGCACACACACAGACCAGTAGCCACAGACAACCGACATTCCCCACACCTCTCAATGCTGACCTCTACAGGAAGTCCTTGATGACAGATAGAATGTCCCAGATTATCTCTTGAGGAGGCCACAGATCATCTTTGGAGGATGTCACATATGTCGTTCCTAGGAAGCCCTAAAAGACCTCTCATGGAGGTTTCAAATGGCTTCCCAAGGAAGTGTTAAATGACCTCCAAAGGAGGTCCCCAATGTCCTCTCAATGTGGCTGCGATTACCTCTCGAGTAGCTCCCAGATGGCCACTCACAGAGGCCATATATGAACTCCAGAGGAGGTTCCAGATAACCCTCTTGAGAAAGCCATAGATTATGTCCAGAGAAGGTCCTATATGGCTTCTCAAGAAGTCCCAGATGATGTCCAAAGATGGTCATAAATTTCTCATCAAGCTAACCCGAGATGACCACCCAAAGAAGCTCCAGATGACCTCAGGAGGTGGTCCTAGATTGCCTCTTAAGGAAACCCCAATGACTACTTTTGTAGAGGTCTCGGTGGCCTCCTGAAGAAGCCCCAGATGACCTCTGGAGAAAGTCCAAGATGGCCCCTAGAGAAGGCCCCAGATGACCTCCAGAGTAGGTTTCAGATGGCTTCTTAAGGAAGTCACAGATGTACTCTTGATGAGGTTCCAGATGGTTTCCCTTGGAAGCTCTACATTATCTCTCAAGGATGTTCCAGATGGCTTCCAAGGAAGCCCTACACGGCCTCTCAAAGTGTTCCCAGATGGCTTCCCATGGAAGCCACACTTGACCTCTAGAGGGGGTCCTTAAAACAGGCTGGCAAGCTTGCTCAGATGTATCCTTAGAGGTACCTAAATGACTTTTGTCCATGTTGGTCCTCTGGAGACAAACACTCAAGGTAGACTCTCAACCCTGAGTGCTGACACACTTGCCTATGGGGATTTTTCTCTGGGGCCAAGGCCTGATGCCATCCAAATGGATTATGTCAATGGGGGTCTCCAAAAATTAGGACCTCTATAGTTCAAGAGAATCCATCGAGGGAGGCTGGGAAGGGATGGGAAGGGTAAACAAAGGAGGAGGCTGCAATGCTTGGTAAGAAATGTACGCATTATCCTGCCCATGCAATTGTAACCCCTCTGTACAGTTTGTTCACAAATAAAATTAAATTAAATTAAAAAAAAAGAGAATCCATCGAGACACAGTTAATATAATAAATGTTCTCCAAACCATCAACCCCCAAAATTATGATATTGAAAGCTCCAAATATCAAAGGGCAAGCCTTTTTTCCCCTTCCCTTTGTCTCTCCTTCACAGTCCTATTCTTCCTTTGAGGTCTTTCCCTTTTTCTCTTCTACCAGTTCTTTCTTCTCTTAAGGCCTCTCCACTCTCCACAGGCCTGAACTGCTTTGCCTGGGCCGTCAGTTGCCATCCTTCACCTCCTGCTCTCCTTCAACATCCTCTCCTCCCAGGGTTTCCCTTTCTGTTATCATACCACTTTTTTCCTTCCAGGACTTTTCCCTTTTTCTCTCCCCTTCTATTGCTCTGAACAAGCAGCCTATATAAAGTCTGTACCCCTTCTCCAATCCAACTGCCTAACAGTTTTCAACTGTCACATCCCAAACTGCCCACAGCCCAATCACTTCTTAACAGCTCAACATGCGGAGATTAATGCACCAGCCCCACCCACAGAATGCCCCAACTTCTTTGGTGGCATACTTTGTCCTCTCCAGCTTGCCAGGAGATGGGGCCACGCTGATTATCAGACCCTATATATTATTGGGACCCTGCTGATTATTACAGTATCTTCCTTGTGAACTGGTAGCAATTGAAATTGGAAATTCCAATTTGATATTACAAACTCGTTGTGACATCACAAACCCATTTTGACATCATCAACACCACGACATCACAAAGCCATGGAGACAACATTGTCATTGTTACATCATGATTCCATTGTGACATCTCAAATCTATTATGACCTCTTAGCTCCTTTGAAAAATCATTTGCCCTTTTCAACATCACAGTCCTTTGTGTATCCATATCCTTGTTGTTAAGTAATGACAATTGAGATCAGACATGCCACTATAACATCAAAAAATGTTTGTGACATCCTTAACAGTGTGACATCACTTTTTCATTATGGAAACATAATCTCATTGTAACACCACCAAACTCAATGATATATTGCATTATGACAAAAATTCTCATTGTAACATCATAGACACATTGTGAATGCCTATTCTGTGATTTCATTGTATTTCAAATGTGGTATGAGAGTTGATATGAGAAACGCACTTTTGTGCCTACATAACCATTTTGACATCATAATCACTTTGTGACATCACAGTGCCACGAACCTCTCCTCTCCTCATAACTTTTGTGACATGCTGACATTGTGATATCTTAGACCTTTTTGCCCTCATAGTTTGTTTTCA